TGGCAAGCCATATACATCGGCTGCGATGGAAAAGGAGAACATTTCTGCTCCTATGGACTTGGACCTTATATCCCTAGCATAAGAAAATTCATGGACCGCCAATGTAAGCTCTGGAGCAAAAACACAATTGATTTACAGGAACTCGACTCTTCTGTATGTGGACAGTACTGTGTACTGTTTTTACTTTTTAAGGCGCATGGATACTCTATGGAGGATTTTGTAACTAGCTTCACTGATGATTGTCATGCTAATGATAAGATTGTCAACGAGAAGTTTCACCGTTATGCTCAAAATGTAACGATTTGTGAGGATATTCGTGTAAAGAGATGTCAAACGAGTTGTAAAAAACGAAAATAAAATGTACAAAATGTAAGGTGCTTGTTTTTATTTTCCCTCTTTCACGAAAAAACGCCTGATAGGTAGGCAACGCAATAAAAGCACGAGGTGCCTGATGGGAAGGCCACCGGGATCACGAATACGGGAGCGCCTGATGGGTAGGCAACCCAATGAAAGCACGAGGCGCCTGGTTGAAGTCAACCCGTTGCAAGGATGCTGGGCAGCACCGGGTTGAAAGGGCAACCGGGAGCACGAATACGGGAGCGCCTGATGGGTAGGCAGCTTGCAACATCGTGGCCTTGAGAACGGCACGCACGGGTTCGGATGACTCATCGAGGCACGAGTTGGAGGAGTCAAACTGGTACTGGGTTGCATTGCCCCTGCCCCTGGCAGGTAGGCAAAGCAACCCAGTACCGGTTATACTACTGGGGTGAGGTAGGCTATTTATAGAAACTTAGACAACTTACCTGAAGCCAGCACCTTTCCCATCGTAATTTCATAAATGGGTTTTTTTTTTCACAGTGCATTTCAACCATTTAAACTTTAGAAAGCTGTCTACAGCAATTTCACGATCCTGTTCTTCTTCCAAGATTTCATCAAAAATAATATTATCATGTCGAACGGTATCGACAGCCGGCGGGTCCGATGAAAACATAAGGTAGAAACGTCCCATTGTTCTACAATGATTCTACAATGAACTTGTAAGAAGTAACAAAACTACTAAATTGCAGATCTTCACAGAATTCTTGCTCTATGTCGTTTCGTAAAATGGGACGCAGAAGTAAACAAACCTCTTGGAGACAGGGCACCCAAACTAAGAGGCACAATTCGAAATATGAAAAGACAGACTTTTGATTTTTTTGGGCCGCACACTAAAAAGAAATTGTTGATTATAATACTTTTTATGGCATTATGCGTTAATATTACTATGCTGGATGAATTAAGCATATATTGTATCCCGTGAACAATGTTTCATGTTGGCAATAGGCGCTGCCTGCTGAATCACTCCAAGAATGAAGCGCGCTCCGTGTGCTCTCTCTCTCTTTCTTTCTCTCTCGCTCTCCTTTGTTGTTTTGACGACGAGCCGGACGGCGGCGAAAAGGACACAAACTAATGAATTAGAAAGTGGAGTGGCTGTTAAGTAAGTCCACCATGGAGGAAGATAAAACCTCGCGAAGATTAAAAAAGGCGAGAAAAACATATCTACAAAGTGCAGGAGACAGCGCATTGATGGAGTTAGACGCCGGGTAAGGTTATGTTTGTTTCGATACGCCCGTGTGCCTTCTGAGCGTGTAAGTGCAAATTTGAAATAATTTATTTAAATACTGATTCACAGTACGTTAACCGAGGAGCTCAACATGGATAGCTTCACTGAAGAGATGGATGCAGAAAGTATTTCTGAATTGCCTCATTGTGCCCTCCCCACCCAAGGTAAACAATTTTATTGTCTATGTTATTCACAGGGCCTTGTTTAAGTGGTCTCACAATGTCAAATTTCTGTAGGATTTGTTGAGCCAAGCAGTAGCAGCAGCACCTCAATGTCCAGAAGTGTTACCTCTGTTTCGTCTGAAGTGCTGGGTGACGCTTCTATGGAACTAGGTTTCCAGCATGAAACATTGATTAATCCGTCTCAGTTATCTGAAAAAACAACGACTGATACAGCTGCTATTGTTGAAAGCGGTGATCCTAAAGGTGAGTTTTTTTTTATCTTCTGTTTGACTTTAACTGTTACTCTGTTAAAACAAAATAATAATTTAGGGCAATCATTATTCAAAATGTTCTATATTCTGTTTCCATTTTGTTATTGACATATTGACTGACAATGCTGAATTTCAAGAGCCAGTGCAAGACCCCGTGTTTCCCTCAAGGTTTGCTGAAGAGGAAGACTTTGGAGAGGATTTCCATCATGAGTTGTTTACTGAGGAACCCTTGGAAAAGGCCCCTGATGATCCTATTTATGAAGGAGCTCCCATTACTCTTGGAGAGAGTATTGCAGCTGTTTTGTCTTTTGTGCAATCAGAGCACATTAGCGGTGTTGGACTTGCAGGGTTGCTCTCACTTATATCTTTGCATCTTCGGAAACCAAATAACTATCTGAAATCTACACGGGAATTTTTTAAACTATTGGAGGATAGGGAAGAGCCCCTTAGAATTTCTTACTATTGCAGTTTGTTTTTAAAAAAATCTACCCTCCAGTTCTAGCTTGTGTACTACTTGCACGGATGGTAAAAAAACTGTGAGTTACCTCATCCATTTCCCTCTTGAGCGTCAAGTGCAAAAAATGTTTAGCAGGCCTGGGTTTCAAGATGACTTAAACTACAAATTCAGAAGAGTGAAGAAAAATATTAACAACATCGAAGACATACTTGATGGACAGGCATATAAAAATGCAGAAGTAGAGCCCGAAGTAGGAACCACTGATGTCACAATGACTTGGAACGCAGATGGTTTGCGGGTTTTTTAATAGCTCCACATTTTCTATATGGCCATGCTTTCTTATCATCAACGAATTGCCTCCCAGTAAAAGGTACTACAGTGAGAATATGTTAATTGGTGGTATTTGGTGTGGTATGTCAAAGCCTCATCCCAATATTTTTCTCCAACCGATCTATAATGATTTAAAAGTTCTACAGAGTGGTATCAGAATTAGTGACAGTCTCAAAGTACGTGCAAAGCTTATCTGTGGCACTTGTGATGCTCCTGCAAGGGCGTACTTTTTAAATATGAAACTGCATTCGGGTTTTTATTCCTGTCATCTATGTTTGACGAAAGGTGAATACTCAGCAGCTATTGGAAAGTTAACTGTTTTTCCATATGAAGAAAATCCTCCACCAAGGACAATGGAGTTGTACAAAGAAAATGTAAAATTTGCAGTGGAGAAGAAAGTTGTTGAGAAGAAGAATAAACATCTGCTTAATGATATACGGTGCTGTGGCATAAAGGGTCCTACAGTGTTATCTCATATGATTGATGGTGATTTATTTCTTTCTACAGCGATAGATGCAATGCACTGCGTTTATTTAGGTGTAACCCGTCAATTGCTTGGCCTTTGGTTTGATGCGGAGCACAGAGACTCGCCCTTTTCTGCCTATCAGCACGTGAAACTTGTCAATCAGAGACTGTTAAATATTATGGCACCACATTTCTTTGATAGGGCTCCAGAGTCAATTGATAAGCTTGTTCATTGGAAAGCCTCTATGCTCAGGGCTTTTTTGTTGTACTTTTCTGTATGTGTTTTGTCTGATGTTCTGAAACCCAAGTATTTTGAGCATTTTTTATTACTTGTCAAAGGCATTTCGCTTTTAAATTCATCAAGTATCAGCCAAGATGATATTAAGTTAGCTTCTCTTCTTTTACATCAATTTGTGGAGGAGTTTCAAACTCTGTATGGTAAACGGCACATGAGCCACAACGTCCATATGTTAAGACATCTGAGTGCCACTGTACAGCATCTAGGGCCACTATGGATCATAAGCTGTTTCAAATTTGAGGACATGAATGGCCGCATTGCTCGACTTATCCATGGAACTCGACATGCTGGCATTCAAGTGTGCTCTAACTTATCAATTATCAATCGTTTACCTTTGATGGTTCACAATCTTACAAATGAGGATGTTAAAAAATATTGTCTTCAGTTAAGACACAAAGGATTGCCATTGAAAGTAACGGAGGAAATTTCACCTGATATTTTGTGTGTAGGTGACTTTACTCATTTATCTGATGATGATAAGTGGATTGTAGATGAATTAAAACAGGTAGTGTTAAACCCAACTGCAGATGATGTTCGATTATTTCAACGCTTGTATAAAAACAAAATTTTGTACACATCCAGTAAATATGATCGTGGTATGCGAAAATCTGCTCATGTGAAATATTGTAATACTAATACTTTAGAGCTTGGTGAAATTGTAACATTTGTAAAGTTAGTGCAGGAGCAGCCACAATATTATGCTGTTGTAAATAGACTACAAACTTCATATCCATTTCAGACAGATGCCTTCAAAATCACACATGTGCACCAGGTTCATCTACCCCATGTTGGCATTGATATTGTTCCTGTGAGTAAACTGGAGATTGTTGTGTGCAAAATAGATGTATCTCCAATTGTATATGTCTCTGAGCCTCTCAATAACTTTGAGTTAGAGTAGAAAATAAATAAACAATGGTTCCACAATGTTTGTCAGTATATCTCACTCAAATAATTTTCCCGCTTCACCCTCTCAGAAAATAGAAACAGAGCAAAGAAAATTGAACAGGGATGGGGCTGCGCGCCACGCGGTGTGCGCATGCGCGGTTCGCGCTAGGTTCGGAGAGGGTGGGGGGTCTGGTTGGGGCTTGGAGGCATACCCATCGCGTCCCTTTGGGCACGTCTTCTAGGTATGAGAACTGTAGCGTTGCACCGCTGGGGAGGGCCCTGAGGCCAGGCAATAATTTTGTCGTTTCTTTGGCATAAAAAGTGCCGTTTTAATGACAGCCGAATCGTGCGAAAACGACAAAATTACGAACGATGCGTTAGTCGTGATTTTGTCGTTCTTTTCTCGTGGCCTGATCGTTTCTAAGCCGTTGGTTGACCGTATATTTGTCATACCGAAACGACAAAATAACGCCTGACTTACGTCATCTCGGGCCATACGGGTTGGCACTCATCTTATGAATCTTTTCAGAGTAAAGACGCTGGAGATGAGGATGCCATTCTGGCTCTACGCAAGGTCAAGCAGACCATGTTCGTGAAGCTCGAGCGCCAGTACTTGAGCATGTTCGCCGCCTCCAGGGCCACCTTCCGTCGGGCATTCCAGACCATTTCGACCCAGGTGGCCAAGAATGCGACTGTCCGCAAGAATGTCAGGGAGTCGGCCGGGAGAATGCTGCTTCACCTCGTCAACAACCAAAAGAAGGTTCGTTTTAGAAGCTCGGCTTTTTTAACCTTTTGGTGTCACTTCGGACGTGGCACAGTGGGCTAGAAGACTCTGGTGGAGGCGGTCAAAATCCTGGACACGTTCGGAGCTCCAGAGTCGCTAAATGGAACTCGAACTAAACGTCTGACCCCACAAATGGATTGCTCTCCAAGCGAGGAATCCATTGGTAGGGTCACACGTTCGGTTCAAGTTCTGTTAGCGACTCGGGAGCTCAAAACGCGGACTCTTAGAATCCCCTCGATCTCTGACTTGCGGGACGCGTATGGCTATGGGATTGTGCGAAGTACCGCAAATGCATGGGAATGGGATGGCATTGCACTTCATGTCCAATTCAAAAGAATTGCACCGATTGACACTATATTCATAGCGTTTGGATTCTCAGTGTAGGTCATGTGTTCGATGAGTTGAGCTGCGCAGGCTGATCTACGTCAGTAAACCCACCGAGCTAGCCTAGCATCGTGGCTCAGGCCACTGCCCCCTTGGCCTAGCCTAACCACCCGGCTGGTGTCTTCTTGATGCACTTTGTAAAACGAGAAAAAAAAGCAAAGAATTTGTTTTAATGAGCCATGAAATTATTATGATTACAGTGCATATCCGTGTTGGCGGGGCAGTTCAGACTGGTGGAGAAGTTCGCCACCGACGCAGACAACGTCCTTTTCCGTATCGCAGTTCCAGCGCAAACAAACGCGCTGTAGGTCCGCACTTCATCGCATCGCAGACAATTCCTGCTGCCTGGTCGAAGATCTACAGGGAACTTTCAAACGAATGATTCAAAAGGGATTGTACACTCTCTGATGACACCACGAACAGAATAAAAATGAAAGAATCTTAAGATTTCACGATTTCCAATCGCCTACGAAGCGGCTTGTCACTTCCGCTGTGGGTGCCGGGATCAGCAGTCGCAGTCCAGTAGGGCAGGTCGATATGTGGCGGTCGCTAGGAACGCTCACTCTTCGAACTCGTGGTCAGGATGCCTCTAATTGACGAACGCACAGCATACGACACACGTGCAGGGATCCCTTCAGGGATCCTTGACTTGCAAGGGCATCGTAAGCGTTATCGTAAGCGTTAAAGTTAAAACCCCGTAACAAAAGACATCTATCAGATAAATAATCCTCGAAAGAAACAAAACAAAACCATCAATGCTAAGGTACTGACTTTATTCAGTGGTGCTAGGTTATAGTGACGCAACCTAGCCCTTTTGAGGGTCTCCGAGTTCTCCGAGGCCGGCGAAGAACTGCACGAAGGAGTACCACGATTTGAGGGCGTCGCTGCAGGCCGGCCGGTCCAAGTTGCCGATCCCGATGCCTCTGATGCCGGCTTTGACACGCGATGCCTGAATCACGCTGAAGCGAACCCGGCGTTGCGACGGCGTTTCCTGCCGGCCAGATTAAGGAAACTGCTAACTGAAACTAAAATTTCCTGGAATGGGTTGACATTTTCGGTTTGTGGGTCTATGTTTTCCAACCAATTGCAACGTTACGACGCCTTCGTCGACAGATAACCATGTCACACCATCAGTCACCCAGAAGACTGATCAAGCTGGTCTAAATTCCGGACGGGTTTTGAGCTCTGAAGTCGCTCAATGGGACCTCAGAGCGAACATGTGATGTAAATCTTGGTAAGTTACCTCATCCCATGCTCCGTTGTACGCAGCTGCTCCTACCGCCTCACACGAGTCGGCCAACATGTCTCCAGCGAAACACAGTGGGACGAACATGGTGAAGATGTGCGGAGCCGTCAGCAAGGCGAACGGTGAGGCATTAAGCCCTCGCATCATAATCTGAACAAGTTTAAGGGGCGGATCATTCTCATGGGTGGGTCCAACAGGCACCACGCCAATCGATCCATGAAGCGGAAGAAGGGGTTAAGTCGAGTTGATTCAGCGACCATGTAAACATGTAACAGTAAACATGAGCGAAAATTTGGTCCTAAAATAAGTGTGGTGAGACAAGTCCCATCCTCTTGCATCTAGTTTTAGATGACATTCCCCACCTGTGGGAGACACCTGCAAGGTTTAGGCTTTGCAAATGTGCACGGTTTCAACTCGACTTACCCCCTTCTTCCGCTTCCTGGATCAAACCTATGTAATTTTATTTTTTACGAAAAGTACTTTTAGGCATGGTTATAAATTATTACAATGCACAATTTATTGCGCCTGACTTGTAAATACGAAACACTAAATCGTCCATCGAGTACACACTACGGTTTTCAGTGAACCTGGCTAAAGCACGGAAATCCAAAGAGTGAGGCAACTCGCCAATTTCAGGCGATACAAAAAGTATCACCATATATCGGGTCGTATATATAAGTATCACCAAATATCGAGTTGCTGTACCCATATGCACCACCAAGACTCGGGTCGTACACAAATGTATACATTGATGATATATCACCGAAAAAAGGGCGATACAATGTTATATCGAAGAATAAAGCCAGACATCAGCGAGATTTGGCCCTTGTTTTCCTGGTCGAAATATCTACCTTAAACGATGAAACACAAAAGTATCACCCTTTTTCGGTGATACATCGAAGTCTCACTCTTTTTTCGGCGATACATCGAAGTATCGCCAAATTTTCGGTGATTCGTCATAGTATCACCCTTTTTCGGTCAGACAGTTTTGTCTGAGGGTAAGATGTATCACTACTTTTTCAGTAGAGCACCCGGAGACATTGAATGAAAAATGGACTGTCCAGAAAGCATACCTCCAAGGTGCAACACATGGGCATCACGAAGACCATGACAAGAAGGCCAGGCAGCACCGGGAACACGGTCTCCTGCATTTTGACTGACGCCTGCAGCACGGCGCTTTGGAGAGAGAGCCATCGTCGCGAGCAGGGCTCATCCTACGCACTCAGAAACACCAAACACCAAATCGTTCGAAAGTGAACGCAAATGTGGCCAACTTACCTCGATTCTGCCCGCGACTGCATCGTAGAACGCAGCCATCACACATGCCATGATGATGATGGAGGCAAGAATAGTGTGGAAGGCAGCTATGTACCCAGCTGCTACACCAATTTTCACAGGCCACGTCACTATGTTCAATCCCAATGCAAGACGTTCGCCGCTACTCTGAAACCAGTCGGTACACTCTAAATCCCCCGTAGACATTTCCAAACCACATAATGGTCTTCCGTAAAATTGTGCGCAATGGTGCTCTTGTTCCAATTTTCGAACTTTCTTTCCATAATTGTTCTTAAGTCTTTTCTACAAACACTGTAAGAAATAAAATGAGAAAATAACGAAGGCACCTCTGGCAAAAATGTTGCCCAAGGTCTCTTGTACAAATTCTCAAAGATTGATCGTTAAATACAAAACAATCTTCCTGAATTTACTAAGAATCTTCATGATTCTAGATGCTTTCAGATATACGAAGAATCTTCGCAAATGATCGAAATCTTTGTAAATTGCCAAGAATCTGGCAAAGGTGTCTTCGGCAACCCTTTTTTTTACATTTATGTCGTTGAAAATTTATTTTTACAGTGAGTGCGTCGTTATTTCCTGCTTTTCCATTATTCGACATCAACACTTAAATGTTTCTTTTTCTTCTTTCTGACTTCCGAAGTTTGAAGGCCCCGGCCGGCCAAGGTGTATGACGGTTGGGAAGGCCGTTGCATAGTTGGTTAAATCTATATATGAATGAATATTGGGCCGAATGTGGCAGTTTCAGTATGTTCGTTGGTTCGAGCTGCATTGACATCACCTAACCTTGAGAACTTTTCAACTGCCGTAAATAGAAAGAAGCCTTTGTTTGATCTAAGTTGTAACAATGAAGATCGATGTACTCTCAGTCATTAACCTCATCTCGTTTCCTTATAACGTTCTTGATCCTAATCGAGCTAACTTCACAACAAAGCTCCTTCTCGTAAACTAAGCATCGCTCGACAAATAAGGAGTTAGGTGTGAGAGAGCAAAAGAGCAGAGACGAGCCGACAGTGTATTTTGTTGCATTTACCTCAGATACGTTGAATATCCACAACAGGCCATTCGTGAGCGTAAGATGCAATTGCGCATTTTCATGCATCTTCAGCAAGGTGCCGAAAAGAGTGAACCAGCCCAGAGCCCAGTAGAAAGACCGAACACGAACGCAAAACCTCGCCATGTCCTGAAGACGTACCTGAAATAGATATTCTGTGATTCTCCGCCTTACACGCCCAAACAGGTCATTTCTTGCTCAAAAAAAAACCTTGCCAAAAGTGAATTGTTTAGTCACATAGTACATCTTGTTACAAGAAACGGATCTTAAGGGTGTTACAGAGCGTATCCAAATCGGGTGCCCCTCTCCGATTTGGATCCACCGCTGAATTCTATTGGTGCTGTCTGGTTATGAACGCAGACAAGCTCCCAGTCCGAAAGTCTCCAAATGCCTTACGAAAGTATCGGGGCAATTACACGGAACGTCACATTTTCTATCAATAACTGCATCACCGTTTAGATGGCGGCTAGATTCAACGTTCTATGGGTATTCCGGTTTAAATCTAAAGCCTTAAACGTCCCGCATCACCCCGTTCTACAGAAAGTCGCAAAGGCTTCCTTTTCCTTACAGTGAAAACGGTTCCTGGTTTTCCCAGGAGCTCTCTGGAAATCGCCTATGCCTTCACCATTGGCTTCCTGGAAAAACCAGGGTTCCGTTTTTAACGTACTTAGAAAAAATAATAATTCTGGCCTTGCGTTTGCGTACTTTACTAAATGGCCTCTTGACCCCGTGATTACCTGCAATGTAGGATTGGCGTCACGCTCGAGATCAGTGCAAATTTTCAGAATGGAAAGGTACGTTTCTTGCAGTTGCCTCCAGCGATTTCGGTAGATGAGTTTGGACGTGATGCCGGTGTACGTTGCAGCGACGTAGCGCACAGCCATGCTGTAGACCATTGCTTCGACGAAGGGAATCGAAACAGCTTCGGACACAAGTTGCATCGCCAACATATATAGCTCGTAGCCAAGGTCACCTGTGTGACACAGAACTAGGTAAATCCGTCCAACCTAAATGTCGTACGGTGAAAGGCCGAAACAACTTAAAATGGTGGAGATTCTCTCCGAAACACGCTCAATCTTTATGTACAATTTTGTAGGTGGGGCTTCATGGCTTTAAACATGTGTAAAGTTTTCCATTAAATTATTATCAATTTTAGTTAAATTTCCACATTTTTAAGCATAATACTAGGAAATTTCCGCACAAAATCGTGCAAATTGCACACAAAATTCGAGATGAATATTTAGAGTGTATACAAAAAGCACTGGTCTTCTGGCCCACAGTGGATTACCTTCGAGGAACGCAGCCATGCCACTGGTTTGTGGAAGCGTGTCCGATGTTCGTGAGGAGTGACGTCATGTACCCACCAGAACAAGTGGGTTGCCAGCGGCCCATCTGCCGCGGCATTGATTGTGGGTGGTTTTGAAGCAGTTTTCGTCATCCCAGCGGAATTCTACATCGACCGCCTTTGAACACACTGCTAGAGGAAAAAGTCCAGAAAAAGTACGGAACAAATAAATTATTTGCCTGGACCGTACGTTACTTTTTTTCCGAACCCGATGAATTCATATGGAAAAGTATGAGTGTTCCGTTCTTTATTTGACAGAACATTTTCGGTAAGAAAGAACGGTTTTTTTTAACACAGTTTTTAGGGGCGAGCGACGAGTCAGACACACTGTAAAAATTCGCGTTGTCACTTGATGACAATGTCAAGGCTAATTTTCTTGACAAGATTGCCATCGACATTTCTGTTACGCCCATAAAATAAGTATAAGAACATTGTCGAAAATGTGATTAATTTGTGATGAAACTGTCATCATTTTCAAGTGACGAAGTATATGTATGTACGGGTTGTTCATGAAATAACAACAATTTTTTACAGTGTGGACTCCAGAGTGCGGTACAAGCCTTTTCACTTTAAGGGGGCAGTAGCACTTTGTGCACGCTTTTTCAAGTTTTTTCGAATTTTCTGTTTTCACCTGAATTAAAAAAACTTTCCCTGAATGCTAGAGACAAAGGCAGTAACCATGTAAAAATCAATTTTTTTGCAACAATTTCAAAAAAAAGTATTCTGGTTTAGCATAAGGGGAGGCACTTATATGAGGGACGTAAAAATGGTCTGCAAAATCATACATGGCGTCACTGCGCGCACGATTTCAGCCAAAGTTTTCAACTTTTTTTTAATCGGTAAAGTGCATAAAAAAGAGCATAAAATTGCCTACAAAATGAACCACGGGGGGTTTATCGGGCCAAAAACGCTGGTAGAAAAAGGTCGTTTTTCACAAAATTTTTCCCTTGAATGCATTTTTCTTGTTCGATACCAGTAGCATTTCATTTTTCATCCGATATTAACCCCCGTGGTTCATTTTGTAGGCAATTTTTTCTCTTTTTTATGCACTTTACCGATTGAAAAAAAGTTGAAACTTTGGCTGAAATCGTGCGCGCAGTGACACCAGTATGATTTTGCAGACCTTTTTTTCGTCCCTCATATAGGTGCCTCCCCCTTTTGCTACAACAAAATACTTTTTTTTTTAAATTGTTGCAAAAAAATTGATCTTTTACATGGTTACTGCTGTTTGTCTCTAGCCTTCATGGAAATCTATTTAATTCAGGTGCAAACAGAAAATTCGAAAAAAATTGAAAAAGCGTGCACAAAGTGCTACTGCCCCCTTAATACGCCAGTTCCGTTACAGACCACACCTTTAGCGCATTCTTTAGTTCCTACGAAAATGTTCTCTATACCTCATGTGCACGACAGACGATGCACTGATGATTTGACAATGCAGGCCTGTTTTTATGAGACCACAAGGCACCAGCACTTCCAACAGCGATCGAAACAGTTTTGTAGGCCCCCAATTGGTTCGTGATGACCAATTTTGTAATCAACGGCGGTCTCAACTGATTTGAGCAGATCAATATTGTCACAAGTTGGAATGAAAAAGAAGACACTTCAAGAGCACATGGTGTTTTTATGGCTTATCGCGTAGTACTGTGACACCTCTCAATGACTCTCACTCCACACTAAACTTTTATGCACATTTTTGTGCGTGAGCTTCCCTTCCACAAAATTGAGCATGCATTTTCAAACAGACGAAATGGTGCGTAGCTAAGCACGAAAGTGTGTTGTTACACATGAATTTGTGCATTTGACGCGCATGTTTCATTTAATGCCAACGCTAGTACATTGTAATTTAGTGTGTCCAACACGCGCCTTCAAGTGCGTGCTCACTGAGTACAAATTCGGAATTGCCTGATTGTGCAAGTGCACGCTTGCAAGCCCGCGTGAATCGTTAGCGCCCAGCGTAGCTTGTGTGTGTGCACGGTGAAAACGGTACCTGGTTTTCCCAGGAACCTCCTGGAGTCAGTTATACCTAAGGGACGACTTATTTCCGCTGGACTGTCATTTAGCCATACCATTTTGGGAGATGAACAGGGTTCAGCAGAGTGAAAAGGGGAAGCAAAAAACAATCAAGAATCTAAAAGAAAAAAAATTGAAGTGTTTCTTTATTTCCAATGTAAAAAGGTAGAAAAAAATGAGTTTGAGAGGACTTTAGGTAGAAGCTTACACCTTTTCTCAAGCACCCCTCTTTCTTCCTGCCCCGGGGACCATCAAAGCCAACTCGCCCTTGGTGCGCCCCGCTGCAGCACTGGCTGGTGGACCTCCTTCCCCTCGCAAGTGAAAATGCGGCGCTGACATGTCCGGACGACACTCTTCAGAACTTCTCATTGTCCATCATCCAATAATTGCAGCTAGTGCACTGCATCGAGAGACCCGGCAGCACACCGCGCACCGCGGGCATTTCAACTTTGCAGTAACACCATCCAGGTTTTCTACGCAAAGGCATCACGCCGCCGCAACTCTTCCTTGGTGTCGGGTAGCGCCAGGACGGCGTAAGCAGCACAAGCTTCTTGAGGCGGCGTAGGGCGTCCAGCAGAACGTGCAGGTCTTCACGTCCTCGGAGCCTCAACCTGGGCGGGCTGCCATCGTCGTAAAGTTTTTTGAGCCTCGCCTGGAA